ATTATGCTTAGTGACCTTTTCAGCAAAATTCACCAGGTAGCCCTCCCCAATAATTCTCAAAAGCTACTTAAACCCATATAATGAATCATCTTGCCATTTTCTGTTTACATGTTGACCCCCCTGCAAAAAAACTATGAACACCCCTAGCCACTTATCAATATTATTGCCAATCTCTGCTCCAAAACATCACTGATTATGTTTCCACTTTGCAGATAACTAGTAAACCTATACACTCTCTCTTCCATTCACCTAACCGTTCTTCCATTCACTACCTTGCAAGGTATTGCTCACATTGATATGACTCACCTGGTGAAGCAGTTAACGAAACTTGAAGGATGAAACCACGTTCTACATGAGCATTGTTTGTTCTAAACCGAAACGAAAGCCAGCTTCCTTTTGATACAAAGTAGAAGGGATCAAGGTCTCCAGAAAACAATCCTTTTCCAATAATTCCACTGTGCAAAACTTCAACATAATCAGGACCGATTTCTGAAATTTAAAAAAAATTAAATACAAACAGCTTTTCAAGTTGAAGTGAATATCCAGTTTAAACACTAGAAATTCTTATAATTAATATTATCATTCCAAGGTCATTTGAAAGGTGCTTTGTGTTGGCAAAATCTGAATCAGGCAAAAAAATCAAAAAGGATGACTACCTGTTTTGAAAAATCTGAAATCGAAACGCATCCGATATCCGTTAGTTGCATGGAACTTGTAGACGCAATCTTCGTCATTGAAGTAGGTGCCGGAACTTAATTGGAGGCGCGGTTTAATTGTACCAAAATACCTTTGGTCTTGATTGCGACACTCTAGGAAAGAAAAGCACCGCTGCGTTTACTAAGATTTTTGTGTAGGAAAAGTGGCTAAGTAGTTACAGCGCTGGGCAGCAAGTGTTTATGAAAGAAGGCTCTAATCTAGGTTTGGCCTATGATTTGAACAATCTTTCTTTATCCACCCTACTTTGTGCTTATTAAGCTGTTAACCTAGGACATGCACTTACACAGGAGCGTAAGCATATGCAGAGTGGTTTAGAAAACATTGACCTAAGAGATCAAGAGGTGTTATCTGAGAAAATGGATTAAACCGTAATGGGTGAAAGGCATGGAACTGACAAAATTTAGATAATAAAAACAAGGGTACATGGAGAATCAAAGCAAATTCAAAGCATTATTGCAGAAGGCAAAACACTACAGCAGAGATTTTATGGTCAAGGCATGAAGATAAAAATGTTTAGCAATACGGAATGTTTTCAAGAAATACTGTTAAACAAATAAAACAAAAATAATACTTAAGATTAGCTCTATGGTTCCAGAACCTGCAAATAAAAAATGGGGAGAAGTGAGGTTATAATTATTACAATTAGACTACCTCTATAATTGGACAATCAAAATAAACGTAACTGTCTACGAAGTTATTCCATATTCTTCCAACATATTCCTTAATGCTTATTCCAGCTTTGGTCTGGGTGTCCAATTTCCTCAATATCAGACATAATTCAAAATAAGAAAGGACCAATCGAATACTAAGTTTAAACGTCCATTTTGGTTTGACGTAAACAAAGTTTATGTTGCATCATTGGCGTTCTTTTTATATAATAACATATAATAACATATAATAATATAAAAACAAATCATAAACATCAAATCGTAATTTGTTAGATAAACATATTGATGATACGAATATAGGTGAAATGTTATTCTTACCACTTGGAAGATCGTATGGTTTGGCAGAATGCACTGAAATGCGATCAATATTGTACATGAATAATATTATCCATAAGATGAAAGTATCGTTTATCATCGCATCGTTTGCATCGTTTATAAAAATTAATTTGGCCCTGACTGTGTGTATTTTATCTATTGTGTGTTGAATTTTACCCGGAAACGTGTTGAATTTTATCTATTTTGCATGGACTCACACAAAAGCGAAGCAAAAATTTTTTTCCTTTGTGAAAATAGCGTGAGCCGATGATTTCGCGCTTTAAGTTGCAGCTTAACCCAAATCTCTTAAATTTTTCGCAACAATTTTAAGTGTTATAAACATCAAGTTGTCTGGAAATTTTTTTAGGTAGATACATAGATACTGAAATGTGCTTTAATGTTCTGTTGCAAAAATCGACCTCGTGCAACATATGAAATGCATGGCTTAGAAGATAATTCACAAAAGAAACATTTTGAAACTAAAATACAAACTTTGTGCATCAGTTGAAGAGATGTTGAATGCAAATCCTTGTGAATTGTTCATATGAGTTGCATTAAACTCAATTCGTAGAATATTGCTTGGTGAAACCAGGTGAAACGGGGCTCTCGTCCCAGAGATTGTACTGCTGTGGTCGTGATGGATTAATACTTTATCGTTGTAAGCTACAAGTAAAGAAAGGAATATTTAAGTCAGTGATAAGAAGAAGCATTATAAAGAAAGCAAGTTTCATAGACATGCAATTATCAAGACACTGTAATTTTAAAGAAGAAGATTCAATCAATCTACGATTTAAAAAATA